GTGGTTTTTCTACTGAAACTCTAACCCACAACTCATTACTGCAAGCACCAGAAAGTTATCCACACATAATCATTATCATCAGAGTCAACATAAGACCAGGTACGGTACAAGTTGCCACACCTATATCACAACATCAACATGAGGAAAAATCAGTCAAGAGAAGTAGGAAGTAGTAAAAGAGGAAGACGAATGAGAAAATAACGTAGGTGATTAAGTCTAGCAGTTAACATAAAGATAATGTATGGGGAAACATCTACACCAATGACATAGCTTCTGAGCCATATCACCCAGAGTCTCCAAACAATGGTTTCTCTTGTCCCACACACTCCAACCGGCCACTCTGCATAGCCCTACATCGCTCAAACGAACAAGCAAGCACTTCATGCACTCATGCCACGTTTCAATCTCGCCACCCCAAGCCTTTAACAACCTGAAACCACTTACGGAGACCTTCTGTGACAAGGCAGACCGTGGCTAGGCATACGTAACACATGTTCCAGCCATCCCAGTAGATCAACGTTCACAACCTCACTAATTGACTTCCCTCTCCTCTTTAAAACTTTACACTTGACCTTCGCGTCACTCACATGGTAACACCACAAAACATGGACTATGCTACGAAGTCAATGGTTGACAAACACCTAACGCCTTCTCATATCTTCTACCCTAAATGGCCATGTTTCACAGCCGTAAAGCAGAACAGAGAGGACTACAACACAGTACACTTCAAGATGTGCGTTTTCTTCTATTTAGGACTCGTCAGCTGGATGTGCCCGCAACCCAGTGAGTGGTGTTGTTCCCACTAAAACGTGAACCTACGACTGGTCACTTCAAACCGCAAAACGCTATCCACCAGACCACCAAGTCACGCTAGTCACCTCTTCTGATGTTGCTTGTAACTTCCCCTCAATTATTGGACTTAATTGATCTCTGGTCTCAGTTTTCGCATACGGGATACTGTGCGGATGCCTCGATATATTGTTTACAGTTTAGTAGTGGTAGGAGGAGATTCCAATTAGCTAGCTACAAATGCTATTTTTTGTTCAAGGATCTGTCTGAAGGTTTTCGAGAAGGCAGAGAACTGCTGCTGTGATCACTACAGTGTAAGCAGTATGATTTGTTGTCCAATATCTTACGTTCTGTAAGCTGGAAATGGGTAAGTAAAGCTTGAAAACAGACAGGTTTCAGACTCAATCATAGGTGTGTCGACCAGATCTTCACCCTCTGCCAGGTACTGAAACAGACACACAAATACTTATTTGCATCCGATGTTGACTTCATTAATTGACGTGAAAGTGGCATTCGACTGTAACTTCCCCTCAATTATTGGACTTAATCGATCTCTGGTCTCAGTTTTCGCATACGAGCCGATGCCTCGATATATTGTTTATAGTTTCGTACAATTGAAAGAAAGCATAGACAGACATATCTCTTCTTCAGAATATTTCAAGTTTGTCGTAAAAATATATTCTTCTTTGTTTGTTTGGTTTTTGTAAAAATAATCCATAGAATGTCTAACATGTATATCTGTGAGAGAGAGCAGCGGAGGCAACCATTAAACTAGAAGCAGCTGCTGATATTCACTGGCTCTTTTTAGCAACTCTGAGAGTCGGCTAAGGTCTTCAACACTTTTTTTACAGTAGACTGGAGATGGCATCAAGCTTCTTCTGGATGAGTGTTTTATTTCGATTACTGCCTAGCTAGGTTTTCGCTGAAAGCGGTCTTAGTGCTCTTATTGTCGAGGAGCACTCGTAATGGTCTTGTTGCTAAAGTTTTTCTACGTTCATTCAGACGCAGACGCGCTTGAGTTAACAAGTGTCCCAGAAGGAGTAGCAGTCTTCCACCAACTCTCTCCAGCAGTGACAGAAATCTGATCCATCTGTGTTCACAGTTGAGTTGAGCTCAGTGAACGCCATGTCAGTGTCTTTCATTATGTGCGGACTTTGTGCTAGTTAGAAATAAACGGTTATCTGAGCAGAATTGTAGAAGCGGTCGCCGTCATCCGTTCATTTAGTCAGGATTTCGAAAGTGCCACCTAAGCGCCTTGTTGTCTGACTCAGCCTACCCACTTGTGCATTGGAATTACCTGTGACAACAACCATGTCTGAACGTTTGGGTTTCAGAAGGAAGCTAAACTGTTCTCAGTAGAACTCATCCTTCACTTTATTCAAACTGCAGTCAGCGGATGCCTAAGCAGAAATTACAAAGAGACAATGGAGAGCTTCACTGTTCTTCCTTTCAGTTCTCACTATGATATTCAGTCAGACAGTTCATGGGCGACTGTCAAATAAGATCTAGCGAAGTACCCATCAAATTTCCAGAGACCTAAAGGGTGAATTTTGCGGATTCATCAGATTGGCTGAAAGAGGTTAAGTGAATTACCGCACTTCGGTCGTGTATGTGTGTCTCACAAACAGCACACATCTATGCCCCGAGTTACTACAGTGCTGTCCGATTTCCGGAGAGTGTGTAAATTGAAGACTCCCATGTTTAATTTAGAGCTTAGTTTGAGGAAACTAAGGATACTGTCCTGTGGACTCAGATCGCTGTCAAAGGCTGCAGAACTAGAAGAAATTAAAGATGATCTAGGATTGTTAACTAAGAGAGGTGAAGATTAGGAGGCAAGGATGACGGACGTGGATAGTGGTTTGAGGGAACTTAAGCGCTGACAGAGTTGTGAGGGCGGTTGACACTTCCCAGCTGACCACACCATGGAAGGCTAGGTCTTCCTAAGGTATCTGAAAGAGAAAAAGATCTGTTACCGCAGAGCTAATGTGACATATGCTTGAGGCATGTCACACAGCCTTTTGTGGGTGACTGTTTTGAGGCTTGGTTATTCTGACACCGGATAGTACAACTTCGCTTTCGGATACCCATTAGTAATTAACCCTACAACGGCAACTGCTTTTCGCTTTACCACTATCCAACAGACCTTTCAGGTATGGTAGGACCTCGAGGGAAAAAGAGTTTTACCAGCATAGCTCGTTGGGTCATTGTAAAATGCAAGCCCGACCACCACGTCAGAGTAGCAGTTACCGGTCGGGTTATGCCAAGCTACAGAGTCACAATAGCCGCTTTATGTAGCGAGTATAGTTTCGATGTTATACCTTTTAGTTTCCACTTACTTAGGTCTGGCCTATTACTAAAAACTACGCTATTGATACAAGTTATAAGAAATATTCAAAACAACTCTTGTTTGGGTACTGAGACTCCAAAGACATCCAATCAGGATTAAATCTACTTACTTGTCTCTATGCAGTGTACAGCTTGCATAACGTATTCAATATAAGCTGTCCTATAATTCAAACATTCTGAAGTCTTATCCAGATCATGCATAGCTCATGACGTTTTGGTCAGACCAAGACCTGGCAACAGTCGACGAAGTCCCTTACTGTTAGTCTAGGCCAGGATGTAGACTGCCTGACTGGTGTCGTCAAGATGACTGGAATCAACGGTTGAAGTATTCACTCTTCGACTTCTTCGAAAGCTTGAATATTAGCACTAACATTTATCTCTACGTTGATTTAGTCAGTCAATCACAGCCCACAAGTTCTAAATGAGAGATGCCTAACAAACTGTATGGGATTTGTCAAGGCAAAGGAGTTACCTACTGTGCTTAGCAGTTCTTCAATCGTATTCAATGCCATCAATTAACTACTGCAGTCAGGTTTGTCAGTTAATTAAGAAGTGCAAGAGTGATTTCTCTGTCATTTTACTAAGGATTTTTAATCCAACTCAGACACTCCAGGCAATTTTAATGAATTCACCTGAATCCTTATTATTTGGTGAAGATATGGTTTATTAGTTTCAGCACTCTGATCCGAGAAACTGAATAGAATCATAAGTCTTTATAAAAAGTCTGACTCAGCCTAGTATGTGGATATGTATTGTGTTGAGTTACCGTATTATTACTATTTAAGCTCTAAAATATTTAAATCTCTACATGCGTGAGGTTACCCAACTACCATGGAGCCTTTTAATTTCATAGAACACCCTGATAACTTAACATGTTAACCATCCTGATATATTCTTTGCGATGCTACTTCTTAACGTTATTACCAAATAGCTTGTGGAACCTTGTTCAACTCATTTCTTAACAAGTGAATTTAGATCTCTACAATGTTTCATTGAATAGGAAATAAGCATATAGCACAAAACCACAGTTAACTACTATTCAATGTCTGAACTAAGCCTAATGCTTCAGGAAAGCAAGTCCATAATGATTTAAAAAGTTAACTACATCTCAGCTGTCAAGATAATCATGTCTTTTGGTTCCATGAACACATAACTTTTAAAAACACTATTATTGGCAAATCAGTCAGCCTAGAAATGTAAATGTATGGTAGAAAACCCTGGTAAGTTCACCTATTTAGGCTGTGCATTAGCCAAATATAAAAATATCACTAATGCTGAACACTGAGGACTTCAATCTTACCATCGAGTAACAAAACACAATCGTAATACTACTCACATAATCATGAACTACTAACAACCATGAGCAGCCGGTAATTAAGTTAATGGACGGTGATCCTAAATGTCACCAACATATATGACCAATTACTTGTAATCTTGTACATGAATTTGGGATTGCGTGTGCTTGTCCAGTCTGTAAGTCATGCTAAGGCCTCAGCAGACACCCCCATATACAACGCAATGAAACTTTTAAACGGCTACTTCGATAACGTGTGGTGTATAAGTAATAACTCCCTAGATGATTTTCACCAAAACAAGTTCACTAACTTTGGTCGAAATTGAGATTACAGCAAGTAACAATGACAGAAGTAAATGAGAAGCTTTCTAGAGCAGTAAAATTCAAAAGTGAAACACACAATATGACTATGATATGGATGATAAGACAGAAAACACTTTCTATAAAGATTCGGAATAAATCAAAGCCAGAAACATGTTGATCAGTGAGAGAAAACACGATCTTTGTAGGGAGAATCAGAATGAATAACAACAGGCTTTTAGACTTGAAGATATTTGTAACTGTGACTCACCTTTTTATCTTGTCTAGCGTATGGAAAGCAGGGAATGACAGCAGACACGCGACAACTTGAAGCAATCTTACATGCATTGATCATTATAAGTAGTTCCATAAGGTTATCATTCACTTCTCCACCACCAGTTTGTATTATGTAGACATCTTCTCCTCGAACTGACTCACCAACCTCAACGCTAAAAGTTCAAGTTCATTAGACGTTTGTTCTCATGAAATAGGAATGCATATGCATCTACGAATTTACTAACCATGTCTCCTGATTGCTGAACTTTTTCGAAGTAACTTTTCCCAGTCGGCATCCTATTCGATCAGCTATCTTTTGAGCTAGGTCCTGGTTTGAGCTGCCAGAAAATACTTTTATGTTTGGCATTGCCAACAACGAGACAAGGAAGGCGTTTCGTTCGGATTCCCGCGAGGTCAAACTTTTCAATATCCAATACTGATTGTGTGAGCGTAGAGAACTGATGACTTTTGATCTCTCGCATCTAATTCTTAGGGCTTCGTTCGAGTTATTTGGTTCACTTTTGCAGTGGACGAGGAAATCTCCTCTGCTTTCCTGCTTTTAGACTCGGTGAGGTGGATGTTTTGTGGGTAAGTTGCAATTTGTAAAGTAATTGGGGAGCTACGGGTCGAAGGGAGGGTTAGGGGACTGTTGTGACTCCTGTCTGTGCAAGCACCTTGGTGAGAATGGTAAGATAATGGTAAAGAATAAGAAAAAAGAAAAAAGGCACATACCGTTAGGGAGAAAAAGTTGGGCCTGAGCGTGGTATTAGCTCTCTGGTGTGTTATTCTAACGGGGTTCCTCGTGAAGGCCGCTGTATTGCGGGCGAAATTGACTTGTTTGCATGGCTTGCCTGAAGAGCTATCTTGTAGGCCATAATAAGGTCACCTCTCTTCCTGCAATAACTCAAGGCGAATAGGTTTTGGTGTTTTTGTCCTTTAAGATATGCCTTCCCCTTTGGCCCCACAACTGATTTCGTTGCAGTCCTTCGTATTCTTTCAAAGGGATTAGGGTCTCTCTTGAATGTTGGGGGATACCGTATTGAGGACTTGCAGATGCTGCACCACGAAGGATTTGAAAACGGGGAGGAAGAATTCTGAGGTGAGGGTGCCAAGCTGTCTACGCAGAAAGTGCAAAATGGCGTTCGCCCCGGCTTCCACGTCTTTGTAGTTGGAGCTGGTGTTCAATCTGTCGGAGAAGTTGAGCCTCAAACCTTTCTCCGTGGACACGCTTGTGATAGCACGGTTGCTCAGCATTTTTTAGAAGTCGGCCGTGCTTGATTCATACTTACTGGTGTGCATTACTTTCCACCTTTCCAGGTCGAATCTCAAGCCATGTTCCAACGACCTATAGTTCGAGTTGCTGCAGGTCCTTTCGTAATACTGCACCGTCAGCTACTTCGTTTACCGGACCCCAAATTTTAATGTCGTCAGCGAAGAGGAGGACGGGTTGGGGTGTTTTGTTTGGAGGATCATTTACAAGCAGTAGGGACAGAAGTGGTCCTAGGATTGCTCCTTCGGATACTCCTGACGCCGATGGTTTCCATCCCGACCCTATTCTGCTTACTTTGCTGTAGAGCCGTCACCCTTCTAGATACTCCTTGAGCCAAGAGAGTAGGGGTTCGCTTATACCAGCTGACATGATCTTGTGAAGTAGGACTGTGGGTGGGACACTGTCAATTGCTTTGGCTAGGTCAAGAAAAACAACATGTACCGGTTCCCTGTTGTCCAAGCTTAGTGTCCAGTTGTCGGCACAAGAGCGACCACTCCGAAATCCGTGCTGGTCAGTGTGGACTGTGTTCCCGCTGCTTGGGAATTCCCAGATAGTGTCAGCTACCAGGCTTTCCAACACTTTCAACACGATAGGGAGGTGGGCAATTGGCGTGTAGCTGCCAAGAACCTTTTCTGTCTCCTCCCTTGAAGATGGTGCGAGTTTACACGACTCTGTTGAGTGCTTGAAGAGGTTGCAGGCTGGTTTTGCAGGCATCTCGGGGCGGTCTTTTAGGATCACCGGTTTCAGGTTATCGCAGCCAGGGGACTTGCCTGGACGTGGCCTAGATAGTTTCTCGAACACTTTTTTTCTCTGTGATTGAGATATGGCAGAGATATTCATTATTTTTGGTATGGTAGGTGTCATAACGAGTCGGTGTGGATTTGGTGTCAGCACTAAGTTGGGCTTGGAAGTGTGAGCTCAGAAGCTCAGCAATCTCTGGGCTGCCTAGTACACTCCCATCATGACCTGTGATAAGATTCACTCCCTTGCTGGTCGACTTCCTTTTCGACATGAAGCGGTACAGGTTTTTGGGATTGCTTTGTAACCTTTCCGCCAGATTTGTTTGATGTGTAAGTCTGTCATTGCGTCCCCTTATGTTACGGTGGTTGTGAATCCTGTTGTAGTTCAAAAGTCAGACTCCCTGCGTGATGAACGCCACTTTAACCAATCTCGCTTCTTGCCCTGGATAGGCCTCTTTGTCCCACGCTTTAGCTATGAGGTTCTCACTGGCAGTCTATGTGTTGCCTCTGGTACACTGTGACTGATGGCCCCAGTGATTATTTTCTTCACCTCCAACTACTGTTCATCTATTATGAGGTGAGTCCAGTCCACTGGCCAAGATGCATTCATGACGTAGTCCCTCGTGGTCTCGTAGTTGGCCTTGCTGTGACAAGGGAAGGTGTTAGGTGTCCTTGGTTGCAGGGCTTCCCTAGTGACCATGGAGAAGGTTATTACTGCGTGGTCACTGAGGCCCAGGGGAGTTTGGATACATACATCCTCATTGAGAAGGTCATCGTTCGTCAGAACGTAGCCAAGGCGTGGTGAGTTTTCTTCAGGCCTCCAGCGTGTGATATCGCCCACTTTCTCTGAGGGGCCAGCAGTCTTAATTGCATTCCCCAGCCTCTGATTCAAGGAGCTGATGTGCCTCCATTCCGTCTCCAAGGGGATGGACAGGGTAATAAAGTCGCCGGCAATGATTACGGAGTCGTGATTTCCAAAGGAAGTCGTGAAGATTGCCTTGATGATCATTTCCTTATGTGTAGGGGAGCTGGTGGTGGACCGATATATGACCCTGAGCAGATATTTGGTGCGGTGGAGAGTGAGGTAGCACCACAAAGATCCTGGGAGCTAGAGTAGGGTGGTGCTGCTAATCACTGTTGCCCTCAAATGAGAGTTTACGCAATTTTTTTAGTGTTGTCCGACGTTCAATCTGTCTACCAATATTTCCCGTCTGTCCTCACCTTCAGGTGGTTTGGAAAGTGACCTGTCCTTAAGGGAGAGAAGAAGTTTAATGCCATTTACAAGGTCAGTGTTTGCACAACATTCAGTACCTGTTTAACGAGCTTGTGTAAACCAGGTGATTTCTTTGTGCTTCCCCCTAGGTTTTGGGAAACGGTCACAAATCTTTGGCCGACTATGATGCGGTGGACGCAGCCACTCGCCTGCCACAGATCTGGTAAACAGAGCAAGTGGCTGAGTGCTGGCTAGTTTGCCTAGGACTTTGGTGCAGCTGGGTTCTTTAGATGTCGTGTTGCCAGACAGCTGTTCAGACTGGTCGTAGGAGAAAGCTGGGGACAGTGGAGAGATAACTCAGAAAAACAATTGTTTGCGAGTAAAAGACAAGGAAAAGTGAGATGATGGAGTAATCAACTCACACCCGAGTGGGGCTAGAGGGGCCCACTGATAGGCAGAACCTAGGTTAGTGCGGTAAAGTCATCACTAGTAAGTGGGATGGAAATGACTTAAGAGGTTAGAGTAGGAAGAGACCTGGCACTTCCTCCTCAGTTATCAAGGAGAATCTTACCAGCACCCGATTGCTTTTCCGAGGGCGGTTAGGCACTTATGTAGTCTATCGAAAGATCATTTTATTCAGGAAGAAGCCAAGCCAATGTGACCTTCCGTCTGGTCACCCCCTAGAGTCCTCTTCATCTTCTTTTGGTTCTCCCGTCAGAAGAGTATCTTGAACGTGTTTTAGACCTTCTGATAATCCCTTGATAAGCACCTATGTTTGAAGTTACTAACCAGGATAGCCCAGTCCCAGGCTGCTGAAGTGGACGCGGAATTCATAGTGAGGACCCCCTCTTTATGCTCCCTTGTTCACGTAACAGGATTTCATGTGGACCCTAGTGACTCAAAGTGTGGCTTCTGATGAAATAGCAGCACAGGCCATCCAGTAACAAAACAGGTGGGCAGTCTCTTGCTTCTCTTGCTTAAGTATGTGATGATGTAGACACCCGTTTCTACTACACCTTCGAACTGTTTGTCTCACCTGGATAACAGCTTACCAGTTGAAGAGATTTATTCGCCTGAAGTATCATTTAATGCGTATTTCTTCTCAATATAGACTAGTTCTGCATGCGAATGCAAGCATGTTGCTCTCAACTCAAGTATCCTCCTTCTTAATTCCCTTGCATTACGGTCAGGACATTTCAGCGCATCGGGGTTTGGACATGATGGACTATGATGCTTTCGAGGAAGGTGACAATAGTTTGCAACAAAAACTGGTTCTTGGCTCATACTAAACTGAGAGGCCCCGTCTTTCGAACCTCGCACTGTCATGCTGGTGCAGCGAAAGTCCTGTCTGCCATGTGCCCGCTAGATAAATCCGTGGGGACGAGTACGGAATGGAGCGTTCTGGAAGGCTACCTTTCACTTCAGAGTTAAACGAATTTCAGCCTGATTTCATAACACTATATGGCACTTTCAAGTGATCATTCAAAATGATATGAAAAGTACCAAACGCGATAGCGAAGCAGCAAGGGAAGAATTCCTGGCGTGGTGACTCTAAGTCTCAGGAAAAGCCTCAGAGTATCTTTAGCGAACTGCTGCGTGAGATAAACCCGTGAGCAATGCATTCAAACACACGGTCCATTGTGGAAAAAAGACGCCGGTGTAGAAAAAACGTATCAAGTAGAGCCATTATACTGGCACAAAATATAAAACAAGAAGTGGTGCAAGAAAAAACATGCAGTTAATGAGCACAAGCAGGACAATAGGTAATTCAAGTTTCCAAGTAAATCTGCAGTGCTCTAAAAGTTCTCAAGTTCATCAATGGCGAAACACCCAGAGAATGACTTCTTGGGTTAGAAACAAACACGCTTGTAAGCCTAGCTTGATGTCCCTGCCGTTCGACCGTCGATGCCATTCTACATCTATCTATTGTCTGTTTGAATTGCCCGCATGTGTATTCGCCATCCAACATCCTACACCAGTAGTGAGAGTGGAAGGGACCTGCAGCTTTTGAGCTCTCCAATATCCAGTATCCGTTATCTTTTTACGAGTCAGCGTAACCTGGTTGATTTCTTTGCACCCACTTCTGAGTCTCACGGAATTGTTCTGGGTCTTTGGTGAATTCTGACGAATTAGGTCCACCCGTTGGCCTTCTGTTGCTCTGGTCATCCCGACGGCGGTTGAGTATCGATCAAATCTACAGGG